CCGTCTCCGCGTGTCTTTTCACACGTCCGTGAAAATCTTGCGGATGTTCACGCGGTTCTGGCGGCTCTCGGCGTCGGGGTCGGGATGATAGACCTCCTCGCCTATCTCCATATAGTCCGACTTGCTGAGGGTCCCGCTCATCAGCGCGTCTCCCGGCGGCGGCGGGAGAAGATGGAGATGATGGAGATGCTCGCAGACACTGCTTTCGACGCGCGCCTGCTTCTCCTTCTCCTCCTTCTCCTCCTCCTCCTCGCCGTCCGTCTCGCGGTGGTAGAAGTAGTTGAAGTTGGACACGATGACGGGCACGGGCAGCGCGATGGTCAGCACCCCGGCGATGGCGCACAGCGAGCCCACCACCTTGCCGCCCACGGTCACCGGATGCATATCCCCGTATCCCACCGTCGTCATGGTGACCACGGCCCACCAGAAGGCGTCCGGGATGCTGGTGAAGTTGGACGACGGGTCGTCCGCCTCCGCGAAGTACACCGCGCTGGAGAAGAGGATGACCCCGATGAAGAGGAAGAAGATGAGGAGGCCCAGCTCCCGCATGCTCGCCTTGAGCGTCTGGCCCAGGATCTGGAGACCCTTGGAGTGGCGCGACAGCTTGAAGATCCGGAAGACCCGCACCAGGCGGATGACGCGCAGGATGGCCAGGGACATGGCCTGCTGCTGGCCGCCGCTCGCCTGGCTCTCGGCCAGCTCCGTGCCCAGCGTGATGAAGTAGGGGATGATGGCCACCACGTCGATGACGTTCATGATGTCCCGGGAGAAGGCCGTCTTGCTGGGACACGCGGAGAACCGGACGAGCAGCTCGAAGGAGAACCAGATGATGCACAGGGTCTCGATGACGAAGAAGGGGTCGGAGAACGGACTCAGGTCGCCGTCATCGCCGCGCGTCGTGCCGTTTACCGGGTGCGCCGCCGCCGCCGCGACGCGCCGCGCCCCCCTGTCGTCCCGGAACTCGGGCAACGTCTCCAGGCAGAAGATGACGATGGAGATGAGGATGACCAGCACGGAGACGATGGCGATCCCCCGAGCCGGTCCCGAGCTCTCCGGGTACTCAAACAAAAGCCAGACCTGCTTTTGGAAATCGTTATGGGGCAGCACCCGCTCCTCCTCCTTGATGAACCCCTCGTCCTCCCGGAACCTCTCCATGGCCTCCTCCCCGAGTTGGTAGAAGCGGATCTCCTCGGAGAAGATGTCTATGGGCACGTTGACGGGTCTGCGGATGCGACCCCCCGGACTGGTAGTAGTAGAGGATGGCGTCGAAGCTGGGCCGGCTCCGGTCGAAGAAGTACTCGTTGCGCAGCGGGTCGAAGTAGCGCATCCTCTTCCCCGGGTCGCCCAGCAACGTGGCCGGGAACTGGTCCAAAGTTTTCAGCTGCGTCTCGAAGCGCAGACCCGAGATGTTGACCACCACCCTCTCGCAGCACGGGGGTCGCCCGGGGGGGTGCGACGACAGGTGAGCGTTGTCCACCACCGTCATGCCGCTCTCCTCCTCCGCGGACCCGTCGGTACCGGCGGCGGCGACCCCCCCCCCGGTGGGCGGTCAACGGGGACGACGCGAAAGGAGCGAGGAAGTCCTCATCCATACAGGTGGTGGTGGTGGTGGTGGTCCGGGGAAAGAGGGAGAGAGTGAAGAAGTCCGAACCCGAACCCAGAAGCCCGGATCCCGGACCACTCACATGTCATCGGAGGAGTCGCGTCCATCCATCCGTCCGTTCCCTATCCATCCATCCGTGCGTCCAGTCCAGTCCAACCCAAACCCAAACCCAACCCGCCCGCCCCGAGGAGAAGTGATGATGCCCTCCCACGGAGCGCACACACGCGTCTTGCGTGTTTTGCAAACACACACAACACCTCTGGTCTCTCCCCGCCTCCCCGCCCACGGCGCGCAGGGAGGCTGAACACGCGCGTCCGCGGCGGCGCGTCCCAATCGGGAGCCAACGCGGATACCCAACGTTGACAGCAGCATCAGCATCAGCAGCAGACGCGCGCCGGCTCGCATCCTTTTTTTTTTTTTTTGGGGGGGGGGGGGGGGATGGGGATGGGGGGTGGGCGGAGGAAAACAACACGTTTCATGACATCCTGATAGTAACATCATACAAACAAAGACAAGGAGATGATGAACCACAAGAGCGCAACTTGGACCCCCCCCTCCTCCACGGAACCGAAGTGGTCCGAGGAGAGGGAGAGAGAGAGAGAGGGGGGTGGGGGGGGGAGAGAGAGAGAGAGAGAGGGAGGGGGGGGGGGGACATAATGAGCTATCCATGGTGCTGAAACATGCGCGCCCTGTCGCCACCATCAATACGCACCCCGGCTGCGTGACTGAAGACATTGATAGCCTACTTGTGCATGAGGGTTGGGGGGGGGGGGGCAGGGGGGGGGCGCTGAGTGCCAAACCGAGCAACAACAAGCATGACCTGTTTGAGCTGTGGCACCTCTTGTGGCATCTCTCATCTTCTCTCAAGGCGTACACACCAGATACCTCAATTCAGATATGGGGGGAGCAGAATACATCAAATGGACGACAGGGTCAATACATGGCCAACATGAATGTGTGGGTGACGGATTGGCTCCAAGGAAAGGTCCGAATGATCCATCTCAGTTGGGGGTGGATGGATTAGTGATTAAAAAGTGAAATCAATGTCATTTATAATTCACGTCTTGATACGGCAGTCATTAAGGAGAGGCCGTCTTTGTGGCTCGGACGGAGGACTGCAGAGGTCAAGCTGTAGTGAAACGGAGAAGTAATCCGTTGGCCTGCGTTTGGACTTTGTTACACATAGCCCCCCCCCACACACACACACACACACACACTCCAGAGGACAGGGCTTTACGCCATCTCTCACGTGGCTTGGTTGTATGCGTTTATTTAGGTGTACATGGCGTCTTTCACAAGATTTCACAAGATGGCACTTAGCTTCAAGACGTCTTGAAACGTCATGAAACCTGTTACAGCTACGACAACAAAACAGACCAATCAACGGATACAAATACAATATAAAAAAGTATAGGCATATATTTGACTTGATGAATGCATAAACCATAATCATTCACATCAAAATACACCTGTCTACCTAAATGATCAATTTTAATGATCAATAGAAATAAATCACTGAACATTAGATATCAACAGTTATTTTTGAGTGGTTAGGACTGAGCCAATGAGGTGCTTTCTGTGTCCCCAGACTCATTCAATTGCATTTTATAAATCTGATTTATTTTCCATTCACAAAGACGGCCTACATATTGTTGATAGAGCTGATGTTGCGGCTGTTATATTTTATCATATTTTAATATTATTGATGCTTGTAAATAACACTTTCATATTGAGATACTTTTTCTTATAGAGGATAGTTTTGAAAGTTTGTCCGATTTAACTCCCATAGATTTGAATGCATATCGGCAGATGCTCACATTGTGTTTAAAATGGAAACAGAAATGAGAGAGAGAGATGAAGAGAGAGAGATAAAGAGAGAGAGAGGGAGAGAGGGGGAGAGAGAGGGAGACACACACACACACACACACACACACACACAGTGAGATGAAAGGATTCTGAGACCCATTTAATGACGGAGGTCCCCAACTGCAGATCCAGACTAGGTTTTGATCCAGATCTGGTCCCAGACCAGGTATTGAACCAGATCCAGTCCCAGACTAGGTATTGAACCAGATCTGTTTCCAGACCAGGTGTTGAACCAGATCTAGTCCCAGACCAGGTTTGGAACCAGATCCGGTCACCAACCAGGTATTGAACCAGATCTGGTCCCAGACCAGGTGTTGAACCAGATCCGGTCCCAGACCAGAGCACATTACAGATGATATGTAGGGCCTCTGTCTTCATCCATTGAGGAATGCTCCTGCATACTGAATCCTTAATGCGACCATGCGTCGCCCTGCATACCTTCATAAATACTTAATTGTCTTTTATTGCGCTCTATTCAGTGCATTGCCTCTGATCCGGTCTATTCTGTAGCCTGCCAAGGGGAGATAAAAACGCTCCCATTCAGATATGTCAAGCACAAAGAACTAGAGAGATAAGTCCATTATATCATTCAGGGATGTGCAGTTCACGTTATTGACATGCTGAAAATGAAAGTGACCTCAAAAATTACATTGTGTGTAAGGTGCAAAAGGACGAAAAACATTGTGTCCCTTCAATATCACCTCAAAATATTAACCAAGAAAAGTTCTCCTTTCTTGCGGCCGGGTAGCTCAATCCATTAATGCGCTGGCGATACAGGCAATGTTCCTTGTAGCAACCACAAGTTCGATTCCCGCCGGAGGTCCTTTGTCATTCCCTCTCTTCTCTACCCCACTATTCTTTCCACTTTCCTGTCATGAAGGCAGAAAGCCCAAATGGCAATTATATTTAAAAATTCTCCCTTTTCTGTATTACAGATGTATTTGACACATTATGGTTATGGACCATAATGTGTCAAATGAAAAAACAACAGGTTGGTGGAGGGGGAGGGGGGGGGGGGGCGGTTATATGGCTTTGTACCCCCAAACAAACAATAACAGTGTCTCTGGTAGGGACCCTGTTTGTGTCACCCCAGCAATGCTGCCAGGCACACGCTAGACCCGATCAATAGATGAGGATAGATCAATTGGTCATCCATTGGCTGTGATCCCTGCCAGCCCCTGATCATTACATATTCACGTTACGCATCACGCTGGTCACAACAGCCTTTACCAGTCAAGGTTGAGGTCAAGGTCGCGTCGCTAATAGACAAACGCTTTCTTAAGTTAGAGTTGACACAGTGCTGACGATTATAGAACGATGTTATACCAACAGCTATGGTTGCTAAATCGCCTGTTAATATTATGTGAAGCCTCTTTTTACTGTATTATCACTATTTAGTCACAGTTATCCAAGGGACTTACAGTGAATGTCTTTTAGAGACATGTCACTCATGAACAGGTAGGGGTTAGGGCCTCTTGCTCAAGGATGCACACAGGTTCGGCCTCTTGCTCAACCCTGCTTACAGGTTAGGTGGCGGACGCTGGGGTTTGAACCCAGAACCTTTCGGCTGGGAGTCAAACACCCAGACCAGTAGACTA